ATGGAATATTTTTTATATTCCTGAACTAAATATCTTGGATATTCCTGAACTGAAAAGTTTTTATACTTTTGATGTTTCTGAACTCAGTGTGTCTACTATTTTCGTTCAACAAAATTTCCGGTTTTTTCCCGACTTTGTCTTAATTTTTCCCGGCTTTTTTTTTATCAAATTTAAATTTATTTGATTTCGAACATCAAAATAAATCTACAAATGGCTTCAAAAATTTTTATTAGAGTTTTTATGAATAATTAAATTTTTTTGACGAGTTTTTAAAAATTTTTCGAAATTAATATTTTTTTAATAATTTTAATTGAAAATTCGAAAAATAATTGAATAAAATAAAGAAGTTTTTCAGTTTTTTAAAATAAACTTGTCTGTTTATAATTGTGATTGAAAATTTTATTATTTAATTTTATTAAAATTATATTGATAATAATTAAATTTCTGAAAAGAATTTTACTATTTATAAAAGTAATTGAATCCTTCCAATGAATGTTATTTATTTATAAAAATAATTAAATGTTTGCGTAGAATTTTATTAAAATTTTTGAAAATAATTGAATTGTGGAGAACAATTTAATTATTTATAAAGATAATTAAAATTTTGAAAAGAATTTAAAATAATTTTTAAACATATAATTGAATTTCTGCGAAGAATTTTATGGAAATTTATGAAAATAATTGAATTCTTGTAAAGAATGTTTTTTTAAAATAATATTCAAAAGAATTTAGTAAATGTGAAGAATTTTGCTATTTATGAAAATAATTGAATTCTTGAGAAGAATTTTTTTTTACAGTTTCTAGAAATAATTGAATTCTATCGACGAATTTTAATAAAATTTTTAAGAATAATTACATTTTTCAAGAAGTTCGATTAAAATTACATTAAAAATAATTGAAATTCTGCAATGAGTTTTACTATTTATGAAAAAAATTTTCTCGAAGAAATTTTTAAATATAAAATTATAATTACGGTGACTTAACTTTCCTTGATTATTTTCGAAAAATTTAAATAAAATTCTTTAAAAGAATTCAATTATTTTTAATAGAATGTAAAGAAATTTCAATTATTTTAAAAATTTCAATTATTTGGTTATAAAAATTTAATTATCTTGAAGCAACAGAATTGAAAAATTTCAAAAATCTTATTTTTCAGAATTTTCGAAAACAAACTTTGCGAAAATTCAATTTCATTAAAAAATTGTAAGTATATATCTTTTTTTAAATTGACTAATAAAAATTTCAATTATTAATCTTCGCACTAAGAAATATGAATACATTAGAATGTGACTCTTTATAAAATTCAATTATTTATCAAATTTTTAAATTAAAATATTTCGAAAATTTGATTTTTTAAAAAGTTTTTAATGAAATTCTTTAACAAATTTAATTATTTCCAGTTGAATTTCACAAAATTTTTATTAATAATTTTTCTATCGATAATTTTTTTTAAAATTTATTTACATACTATATTTGAATCAGTGACTGATTTTTTACTATCAAATTAATTATTTTTAACTAATTCAAATTTAAAGAATAAAGAAATATCTATAAAAATTGAAATAAAAAGCGATTTTTTAAACACAAATTAAAATAATAAAACTTTTTTTAATTTGGTTAAAAAATTTCTGGTTTGGCATAAAATTTCCCGGTTTATTCACATTTTTTCCCGGTAAAATTAAATTCCCGTCTGTTTTCCGGTTAGTAGACAACCTGGAACTGAATTTTTTTAATATGCACTAATAAATATTTTTAAAACTAATTAACTTAATATTCCTAATATTCTTGAACTTTATTCCTTTAAATATACATATAGAAAATAAATTTTAACAGTCAGAACAAAAAAATTGTATGAAAGAAATTTTTTTCTGAAAGTAAAATATTTTGTTTCAAATAGTTCAAAATTCTTTTATCCCCTGAGATAATTTTTCGATATAAATAACCATTCTTTGTTAGAAAAATACTAAAAGGTGGTTTATAATATATGCATTTGGAAGTTGCAATGTAAAAAGCAAAAAATAAAAAATATGTGGGAGTTTCTTGGCACTTTTTTTTTCTTGTCCGTGTCCCTGTCTTTTTCTTTGCTTTGATATTTTTTGTACAAGTTTCTATATCTATATATATATGTTCACACATGAAACTTTGAGTTTACATGTATGTGTGTATTACTTCGCCTAGAAGCGGAGGTCGTGACGATTCTCACACCTTTGTGCTAAGTGAACCATACCACCCCCTTCGCCACCAGTCAACTGGCTTCTGCTACTATACACTATACAAATTTAAAGTATACCCAGAACATGAAGAAAAAAAAGAGTTAAGAAAAAGAATATCGAAAGAAAGAAAAGAAAGGGGGACAAAATATGCCATCAAAAAAAAAAAAAAATAAATAAAGAAAGAAAAAAGAAACCAAAAAGTCCAAAGTGATTTTTTAATGAACCCCAACGTCTTTCGTAATTGTTAGTTTTGTATCTAAATTAAATACTATTTAAATATACATACACTTTTAAGAAATGTGTGCTTCCAACTCCACAAAACTGTATTTTTAAAGATTCAATTTCTCACGTTTCATCACAGACTCTTGGTCCATTTTTATATTCATTGGAACTTGGCTTTTAAAAACGAACAATTTCTCTACAAATTAAAGGGGTTTTATTTAGTTTTTTTCCAGGTCAAATGTCAGGAAAATATTTGTAGCAAATATTTTAAATTTAATAAATAAATAAATATTTAATATTTTAGCAAATTTTTTTTTATTCTTTATTTTTTTTACCATTTTTTAATTTAATAACATTATCTTTATTTTTTAAATAATTCAAAAATATTATTATTACTCTAAAAATATGATTTAATGTTATTATTCATTATTTCTTTGTTTCTAAAAAGATTAGTATTTTGTAACAAACGTTTTTTAATATGAAAAACTTAATTCTTTGAGAAATTGAAATAATGCAGCTATTTTTTCCTTTTTTTCTAAAGAAAAAAATTAAAAAATTGTTTGAAAATTAAAATCAGAAAGTAGAAAATATTGTGCACATTTTCTGCTCTTCAATAACAATTCATAAACAAAATACAAGTTTTACATAAAAAAAATTTTGTAAATTAAATTTTGTTTAAGAAATTTTTAATTTATTTTGGAAAAAAATATTTACAAAATTTCTATTTGTTAAAAATGATTGTAAAATTATTCGAAAACATCAATAACTTGTTTTTTAAATAAACATTTAATTATTATTATTTTTCCACAGGAATCAAGATCTTCAAATTATTCAAATTCAAACCTTTTTCAAAAAACAATAACTTATAATAAATTAAAGATAACCGAGTGATAAGATCATTATTTTATATAATAGGAATATTTTACGAAATTTCAATTATTCAGAAATTCTTGAATTGAATACGTATTAAAAAATAAACACTTAAAATAATTTCAGAAAAAAATTCAATTAAACTTTTTCAAAATAATTAATTCTACAGAATTGTTGGTTATAAGTATGAAAAATTAAGATTTTTAAAGAATTCTCATAAAGAATTTTGTAAATAATAGAATTAATATGAAATTGAGGAAAATTTTTTGGAAATAATTGAAATTTTGACATAAATTTTATTAAAAAATTGAATTTTGCCAAGAATTTTATTAAAAAAATTTTTAAATAATTGCATTTTGGAATAGAATTTGATAACTTTGGAAAATATAATTGAATTTATGCAATCATTTAGAATTTTTCCAAAATTCAATTAAAATTTTTAAAAATAATTGTAATTCTACAGAATTGTTGGTTAAAAGTATGAAAAATTAAGATTTTGAAAGAATTTAATTTGAAACCTTTTCAAAATTCAATTATTTCTTGAAATTTATGCTGTAATGCTTTTAATATTCAAATATTATTTGAATATTTGAATAATTTAAACAATAAATATTCAAATTTTAAATTTTAACTGATATTCATTTTTAATTCTATTTTTATTAGAAAATTCTACGAGAATTCAATATTATTTAAATGCAAAAATAAATAATTTATTGAATAATTAAATCCCTATTTTTTAAAATTGAATTCTCATAAAGAATTTTGTAAATAATAGAATTTATATAAAATTGAGAAAAATTTTTAAAAATATAATTGAAATTTTGCCATAAATATTAAAAATTTTTTAAAAATTGAATTTTGCCAAGAATTTTATTAAAAATTTTAAAAATAATTGATTTTTGGAAAAGAATTTGATTACTTCTGAAAATAATTGAATTTATGCAATCATTTCTAATTTTTCCAAAATTCAGTTAAAATTTTTAAAAACCTAAGTAATCTTTAAAATTTTTAATGAAATTCATTGAAAATTGAAATTTTATAAAATTTCTAATAAAATTCATTGAAAATTGAAATTTCATAAAATTTTTAATGAAATTCATTGAAAATTGAAATTTTATAAAATTTCAATATTTATCTATTTATGTAAATTGTAAACGCAACTCTTTGAAAATTCAATTAATTTTAAACTACATAAGTAAAATTATTATTGAAAAATAAATTTAAAGCTATGAAAAAATGTGAGACTAACTCTGCTGGGGCTCGAAACATAAATAAAATAAATAAAATTATTATATTTTAGTTTTTATTTGTTAATTTATTAATTAACATAAAGAAATTAGTAATTTATTAATTTATTTGTTTTATTATTTCATTATTTCACTAATTCAAGTTAGTAGACAATAAGTGAAAACTAAAAAAAAAAACTAGTTAAAAATTTATTTAATTATATATTTACTTACGTATCGTTCTTTAGTTATTTAATCACATTTTTAAATATAAAAATTCAACTGCGGAGAATTGGAAAAAAGGACTTTGATATAGTGTGTATAAAAATAAAAATGTCGAGTTATTTCCATTCGTATTGAGTAGACAGAAATTAATTGAAATATAAATATAATACTGACATATAGAAGATATATAAGAATAAAAATATATTCTGCTTTTAATTTCCCTTTTTTTTCCCTCTCAATTCAGGTGCAAAAGACCTTCATGCACAGGACATTAAGAGACACGAGAAATTAGACGGTGTCCTGGGCGTGAATTTAGGAGGTCTTTCTGCCGGCGGAGGATTAACGCTTCATCAGGAATTAATTATGACGATGCCTGGTTCAGGTGAGTGAAAAAGAAAATTCGTACAGTTCACTAGGAATTACAGTTTTAAAAAAATAATTTATCGAAAAATTACAATTTTAAATTATTAATGCATAAATTAAATTTATAATTATAAATATTATTTTTTTATATTATTTTTCAATATTCGACACGGAAAGAAAATTGTATCTCGAATAGCTGAAAATTTTACTATATTAGCGAAATTGTTAGTTATTTCAATTAAAAATTTCGATATTTAATAAAAATTTGTTGTTTCGGATAAATTTTTTTTCCTTGTATAATTTGTGAAAAAAGAAAAAAAAATGAATAGATATTTAACTTTGATATTAGAAAATTCATTATTTTCAGGTACTGGGTCGTCTATGTGTGACGATAAACCCACAAAACAAAAACGACATCGGACACGATTTACGCCGGCCCAGCTAAACGAATTGGAAAGGTGTTTTAGTAAAACGCATTACCCTGACATTTTTCTTAGAGAAGAAATTGCCATGAGGATCGGCCTCACGGAAAGTAGAGTACAAGTAAGTGGATGACTTTAAAGAACAATTATTAAAAAAAAAAATTTTTAACACAATTATAACGTTTACCACTTTCTTATTCTCAATACTTTTTTCAATTTAAACAAAATTAATTTCAGGGAAATAATTTATTTCTCAATTGGCTCGAAACTTTTGTTTTGATACAAATAGAAATTTTATTCGTGCCAAAATTTTATTTCTGTGAAAAAGGATTTATTTTCGACAAATGGAATTTTTATTCTGTCAAATAGAATTTTCCCTGACCGATAGAATTTTATTTCTTAAAAAATAGGATTTTTTCTGATAGAATTTTATTTCTTCTAAATAGAATTTTTTCTGCTAAATAGAATTTTTGTCTGACAAATAAAATTTTTTTCTGACAGACAGAATTTTTTTTCGATCTAAATCGTTAAAAATTCTGAACAATTCTTTGAACAATAATTTTTTATTGTAAAATTAAAATAATAATTGCCGGTATTAAAAATTAATAAATTCCAAACGGATACATATCAAAGACGCTTTGGAATCAGTTACAAAGGTTTAGTCTGGCTTTTCGGATTATAATCAGAGTTTGAGTTTCTAAGTCCTTCCTTTGAGGGAATTCCTGTCCTCTCTCTCTCTCTCTCTCTCTCTCTGTTCTCTCCCCTTAATAATATAAAATTCAACTATAAAAGTTAATTAACTCCAAAAAATTTTTTACTTTCTTTTAAACAAAAAACAAAGCGAACGCATTTAATTAAAAAATTGCTGATCGACAAAATAAAGAAAGCACAAGAAAATAATAAGAAAATTAAAAGGAAATAAAGCAGAAATGAAAGAAAGAAAGAAAGAAAAGAAAGAAAAAAGAAATGAAATGAAAATAATAAGAAAATAAAAAGGAAATAAAAGTAAGAAAGAAAGAAAGAAGGAAGGAAAAGAAAAAAGAAAAGAAATGAAAAAGAATAATAAGAAAGTAATAAAATAAAAAGAAAACAATAAAAAAATTAAATATTAACAATTAATATAGTTCGAAAAAGGAACTGAATGAAAAAAAGTTAATAAAACCTACTTACGGGTGAAAAATAAATAAAAATAAAATAATTAAAAAATAAAACTAAAAAAAAATCAAAAGAATGAATTAAAAAACTTTGAAATAAATATAAAAAAATATTTTCAATAAAACTTGAACTGAGAGAAAATAAAAAATTCAAATTAAAACGTAAATTTCCATCAAAGTGATAATGAAAGGACAAAATGAATAATAATATGACGAATGAGATAAAAAAGAATGAAAATGAATATATTTTTAGAAATATATAATAATAAATTAAAAATCACTCACACAGTATATATAAATATAATAAAAAGAGGGAAAATTTAAAACATTGCTATTTTATGTACGTATTTTTTGGCTCCCTCGTGACTCATTCATGAAAGGCTTTTTGCAGCTTCTCGGCAAAACGTCGACGAAAACTGTGGCTAATAGAATTTCATAAAATTTTTATTCGCAACTTCAAGCGTCAGTCAAGCCGCGCACCGACTGCATATCAAACAGCTTATATGTATGCCAGTTATATTTCAGTTGACAAATATATAATATAAAGACTTGGGAAAAACCTCAATTTAACGGAAATCAACATTTTTCCCTCCTAACTCTCACAATTGTTCATGAAAAAACAAAAAACAAAATTTACAATCTACATTTTATAATTTACAATCAAATTTGTTATTTTTAGTTTTTTGGCTAATTTTCAAAATAAATTATTAAAATAATTATGGAAATAATTCGAAATAATTATTGGAATAATCAACACAAAAGTAATTATTAAAATAATTTGAAATAATTATTGTAATAATTATTATTAAAGTAATTATGAATATACAATTTGAAATAATTATTGTAATAATTATTACCAAAGTAATTATGAAAATACTTTGAAATAATTATTGTACCAATTATTACTAAACTAATTATGAAAATAATAAATAAAATAATTTTAATGCTGACAAAATAAAACGTCATTTTTGAATGTTTAATTACATAAAAATATTTTCTCTAAAGTGTAAAAATATTTTCGAATTAATTATCAATAATTGTATCGCAGTAAAGATAAAAAATTTTCAGTTGAATAAAAAAAATTAAACAAAGTGAAATAAAGACAAATGGATAATAAAAAACTAAATCTTATTATCTTTCTTTTGAAAATCGACGAAAATTATACAATTTAACAGTTTATACAGTTTAACAGTTATTTTTACCATCCAGAACAAATAAGCATAATCACCACATAATAATAGACATTTTAAAAAATAAAAGACAGTCTATTAAAGAAAAAACAATTTTCCAAAACTATTCTTAAAAATTTGTCTCGTTGATATAAATGTCAAAAAAGACAAGAGTTCAAAAATTATTGCTTTAATAATTTCCGAAGAAAAAGTGAAAAGATAATCAAGAATGAAAGTAGATTTTTCAATTTTCCATAAACGGATAATGTTTTATTTATAAAAGAAAATTCATCTTTGATTATTAGATCAAATAAGAAATAATCAAATAGAAGAGCTGTTAATGAAGATTGCGATTCAAGTAATGAAGATTACGATTAAAACCATATATGATGAAAGTGGAATTTAAATTTTTATATCAAATTTCGACGGTTTCCAAAATTAGCACTAATCGTATTATTACAAAATTATTTTTCAATTATTATTATTATGCAATAAAGAGTTTATTACTTCTTATTGCAATAATAATATAATTATTATATTATACAATGCAAAAAAAATGTTTACAATCTTTTGCAATACTTTTCTAGTATTTTTAAAAATCTTTTATAGAATTTTTTGAATTTGAGAGACAGTTTCTGGTTATTAATTTTTTTAAATTTAATTTTAATTTAATCTAATTTAATAAAAAAAAAATAAATAAACAGAATAAAAATACTAAATCTATAAAGAAAAGAGAACTTTCCGCAATAAGAATAAGATCAAAAGAGGAAGAAAATGAAAAGAGAAATAAAGTTGAAAGAAAAAAAGGGAAAAAGAATAGAAGTAGAAAAAAAAATAAAAGCAAATTTGTGACTTACAACTGAGAAGTCTAACAGGGTTTTTAAATTAGAGAAGGTTGTAAAATTATGATGAGGGTTTTGATTTAATTTTCCAGGAACCAGTTTTCAGCCACTGTTTAAATTCCAAATTTTAGAGAAATAAACATTCTACGTTACCAAAAAGAGATAATTTTTTCAATATAGAAGAATTATTAACATACAAACAATTTATAATATTAATGTCTTTAAAAAACTTACACTAAATTAGAAATGAAAAATAAATTGTTTTAATTATTCTGTTTCAAATTTAAGGAACAAATAATAATTATTATTAATAGAAGTAAATGTATTTTATTTCATAGTTTTAATTTATTCTTCAGTATAAATTAATAGTTTCGGTTACCATGACAACAGAAATCGTAGTAGTAAAATTGAAATTGCAATAGTAAAATAGAAATTGCACTAGAAAACTTGAAACTGCAATACTAAAATAGAAATTGCAATAGAAAACTTGAAACTGCAATGATAAAATAGAAAATGCAATAGACAAATTGAAACTGCGATAATAAAATGGAAATTGCAATAGAAAACTTGAGAGTGCAACAAAAAACTTGAAAATCCAAAGGCAACCTTTAAACTGCAATAGAAAATTTAAAATTGTAATAAAAAAACTTGAAACTGCACTAATAAAATATAGAAATTGTAACATCATACTTGAAATTGCAACATTAATCATTAAAAGTCGATAGAAAACTTGAAATTGCAACAATAAATTTGAAAATACAATAGCAAACTTGAAACTGCAATAGTAAAATAGAAATTGCAATAAAAAACTTGAAATTGCAACAGTAAAACAGAAATTGTAATACAAAACTTGAAATTGTAATAATAAAATATAAATTGCAATAGAAAACTTGAAAATGCAATAATAAAATAAAAATTGCAATAGAAAACTTGAAACTGCAGCAGTAAACTTGAAAATACAATGTCAAACATTAAACTGTAATAAAAAATTTAAAATTGCAATAAAAAATTTGAAACTGCTACAATAAACTTAAAAATCTAATAGATAACTTAGAACTGCAAAAATAAAATAATGAAATTGCAACAGCATGCTTAAAATTTGAAAAGTAAACTTGCAAATCAAATAGCAAACTTGAAACTGCAATTGTAGACATTAAAATCCAATAGCACATTTGAAACTGCAACAATAAACTTTAAAATCCTAATGATGATTTGAAACTGCAATAATTAAATATACAAATTGCCACAGGAGATATTAAAATCCAATAGCAAACTTGAAACTGCGATAATAAAATGGAAATTGCAATAGAAAACTTGAAATTGCAACAATAAACTTAAAAATACAATGGCAAACTTTAAACTGTAATTTAAAATTTTAAATTGCATTTGAAAACATTAAACTGCAATACTAAAATATAGAGATTGCAACACTATCCTTAAAATTGCAACAGTAAACATTAAAGTCAAATAGCAAACTTGAAATTGCAACAATAAACTTTGAAAATCCAATAGAAAACTTGAAATTGCAATAATAAAAAATATAAATTGCAACAGCATATTGGAAATTGCAACAGAAAATATTACAATCAAATAGCAAACTTGAAACTGCAATAGCAAAATAAAAAATGCAATAGAAAACAGTTATCTTGAAAATTCAATAGCAAATTTAAAATTGCAACAATAAATTTGAAAATTCTATATAAAACTTTAAATTGCAATATTAAACTTGAAACTGCAATAGTAAAATTAAAATTGCTGTAGTAAAATAAAAATTGCAATCGAAAATTTGAAATTAATAACAGTATTCTTGAAAATCCAATAGCAAACTTGAAATTGCAACAATAAACTTGAAAATCCAATAGAAAACTTGAAATTGCAATAATAAAAAATATAAATTGCAACAGCATACTGGAAATTGCAACAGAAAATATTACAATCAAATAGCAAACTTGTAAG